TGTCCCGCAGTCTGTGTCTATGGAGAGCAGTTTTGGACATACACACCATGATTTTCACATTCACACCTACGGACAATTTAGAATCACAGATTAACCTCAACATGTTTCTGGACTGTGGGAGGAAGCCGGAGAACCTTAAGAGAACCCACACTGCACGGGGAGAATATGGAGACTCCACGCAGAAAGATCCCGGGTGTCCTCACCGGGACTCGAACCGCAAATTTTTTTCCCAATTAATTATTTTAAGCCAGCCTCGAGCTCCACTGCAACGTCTGCAGAGATGGCACTGGACTCCAACCCACAAAAACATGCAATAATCAGTCACTGGAACATGACCCCACCGCAAAACTGACGTTTCTACTTCTACAATTCCATTGTACAGTTTTATCCAGTTAATTTCCTTCCCTCCCTACAACAATCGTCTTTTTCTATCGCTGTGGATGAAAGTAGCTAACGAGTAAATACGCCTCGACATTTTCTGCAGCCGACTGAATTTATTCAGCCATGGTTTTCTCATGTTTCTCACAGCACGCTACAAGCATGCCCCTTCCAACTTACATGACCTCAAATTATGTAGAACTAGCAGCTGAGGGCAGCGGGGGCAGCGCAAGTTTCCTGACTTTATCTTGAGATGACATCAACCACCTACAAGAGCACTTTATTAGCCACATGTTTTATCCAGCTGTCAGTCTCCCGCTGCCAGTCACACATCTCTACCCTTCAGCTCTATGAAGTGTCAGTGTCATCGGGTCCCCCAGCAAGAATCTGTGGAAGAAAGGCACCTATTATCAGAAATGCTAGGATGACTTTTATCACCAGCAGCTCAGCTTTTACGTTATATTTTAACACAAATGGCATCGCATAGCCTATACCACGGTGAAATGTCACGGAGATAAAAAAGAATAGATAGGCCTGCTGCCCAAGCCGAGTTGAAATCCGTGCTCCTGTCATCCTTCTTGTGATTTTTTTCTTTGTAAAACTGAGTCTAAGACTGCTGGTGTTTTGCTATCCATGAATACTTGTTGTTTTATTTTTTCTTAAAGCATGACAGTAATTGGATTTTGGGATGCTGATAATCAAAACAGTGAGCCGCCGTGCCCTCTCTCAATCCTTAAGTGTCAGCGTTGGCCTTCAAAACTTTTTTATCGTGTCCAAGTACAATAATTATCTCATTATGTGGACAAGACTAGTCTTATCCTGGTATAATGAGATCACAGTTCCAGTTGGACTCGTGGTTAATCAAGGAAGCGGGTTCATCTCGCTGCTCTCTCATTCACTGACTCACGACGGAAGAGGTGTTTGAGATGTTTTCTGCGTTCTTTGTGAACATAATTAGCAAATATGCTAATGACTCCTCAGCACTAAGCGCCATCGTCCGGAGCGATTAACCCCGGTATCTTCCCTCCCTTCCCCTGCCCAAGACTCTGGCAGGGTCCCTATAAAAGAAAGCTGTAATTAAGGGGGATGAAGAAATGTAATTACCCTCCACCTCATGCACTGGTGACTGTATGTGTTATTGTGACAGGGCACACACACACACACACACACATTCAGCCTGATCCGTTCACATCACCGTGCTTTACAGGTGGAAGCTGAACACATGGTCGGGAACATCGTGAGACGTCTCAGCGCGTCTAATCTAAGTAGTTGCTCACGCCAAGCTTTATGCTCAGGTGTATTGCTCTATTTGACATCATTTAGTTTGTCAGATTTTCAGCCAAATCTAGCTGCAATGTTTAGATGTGCCACTTTTAAATTGTGAGTTTGGATTATTATTTTTTTAACTATATCCCAACATGATGCTCCGTAATAGAACGCTTACTGAGAACAGTGGCGCTGTGATCTGTGCTGTGTTCAGAGGCATATTTTATCTGTGACAGTGAGGGGTCATTAAAATGTGCAATTTTCTGCCTTTACTTTAAAAAAAAAAAGAGAGAGAAACTTTTTCTGTCTTTTGAGATGCTCTTCTTTAAGGATTTAGAACAAAAGCTTCTTCTCTAACTCAAAAAATGCCGGGATGCTGGCTGTCACACAGTTCCAATTTGACTCTGTAAAACCTCAGGAGACAGAAAGAGATGAAGCTGGGATTCTGCTTAATACTTAAAACGAGGGTTGCATCATTAACTCCATCATGCTGTGGGCATCTTTCTCTGTCAACAACTGCAGCTTTGCCAATACTTGAAATCTTCCAACTTGCGATAAAACAGACATGAGCGTTGTCAACCTCTGTTCGCAATTGCCTTGTCACACTCTTTCAAGTCAACATAATTAGCTGTAGCTTTAATTTATTTATTTTTTTCTTCCCCATTCTCTCTCTCTTTGATGCCAGGGGTGGAGGCATGTCTGCAGGCAGGGGAATGGATGCCTGAAGCCGAGCATGAAGCCGGAGAAGGCCCCCAGCGCAGCCGCATCAACAGATGTAGCTTGGTAAACGAGACGCACGCAAACACAGACGTGGAATTGATGAGTATAAGTTGTCCTTGGAAAAAATGTGTGTTTTTTTCTCCACATGCTTGTGTTTACTTTTCGTTTCAAAATCATAAATCACAATGTAGTTGCTCCTTTCTGACAGTAATCAAAACAAAATAGTACATTTTAAAGCTACTAATTGCACATCGATCTCAATTGAGTTGAAGGAATACTCCCCTCCACGTGTTATGTGCTCTACTAGTATTTTTTTTACTTTGACACGTAGTGTTTCTTCCTATGAGCAATAAAATACAAATACTAAATACAGGCCTCCGAAGCTTAGTGTAAAAAAAAACTAAACACAATCGAACCTGTGATCCCTGAAACAAAACTAGTATATAGCTGTGATTTCCAAATAGCCTACATGCATGATTGTGGTTATAAAATGACCTGTAAACACCTGAGCTTGCTCAGTTTTGTACCCAGTTGCATGTCTCCATATGTGGCTCCACATGCAAAAAAAAAACAGCCAGATAAACTGAATAATGTGAGATTTCACAATGATGCAAAAGGACACAGGACGATCAGACTAAAGATCAGATGAAGCCCAGTTGCAGCAGTAATGAGGAGTTAAATCGAGCCGTTTTGCGATTAATGAGAGTCACTTGCTCAGTGTATCTCTGATAAACAGATGAGCAAGTGGTTCAGACTTGGGAAAGGGGTTATCAATGGAATTTTGAGCTTCAGCGACAGCCCTGGTGCTGTTGGGGTGTCCAACACTGTCCTCAACCATCTGGCAGTGTTACGGACAGTGAGTGTCAACTTCTAAAACAAAAAAAAACAACCCTTTCCTACTGTTTGGTACAAAAGTGCAGGATGAGGTTTTGCTAAATGCTATAAAAAGAAGGCTGGTTTTTGGTTAGATCACGTTCAAAACAAGTTTATTCCGCTCAGATGGGTGTTTGGTGGTGAACGTGGCCAGAACTACTACACTGAGGTGGGACAAAAGGTGTTTGGGACATGACATTTATAGATGGCACCATAGATTCCTGGTAATGTTCAAGATGTGGAGCTGACGAGATGACAGAAGCTTTGTAGAAGAGGAACAAAGTCCAAAGAAAGCTGCCAAAATATAGAAAAGGATTAAAAAAAAGAGGTACTATAGGGCTAAATCTGTAAATCTAATCTGTTAAATTTATATTTTTCATGAAAGAAAATGCCCTACTCTTGTAAGGCGATACAATTTTGAATCATTTGACATTTAATTGCTGTTGCACAGGAGTGTGCTCACATCTGTTGTGTGTTTTTTCATTGTGTTGCCAACTGCTTTTGACGGACACACACACAGAAGCACAAAGTGAAAAGGATCAGAAAGACGTCGGCTCCAAACAAAGCTGAAATTACACAGAAATGGCTTCCAGGACAACATAAACACCCGACAGAACAAAACCACGACCTCAGTCTAAACAAGACGATGTCGGCAGGGCTTCAAAATCGCAGCTCGCTCGTCAGTTGGCGTTAAACTTCACACAGCTTGTGGAGTTTTGCAGAGAATGAGGACGCCGCATTGGCTAGATGATACAAACCTAAATACTAAAGGTGTCTAATTTGTGCAAATTTGAGATTCAGTGCAGCAAGACATCATTTGATCAAACAGTGAATACTTATTAAAGTCATCGTATACGTACATGATGAAGTGATTGTTCCCTGAAGGATGGTGCCACTGAGCAGAGGAAGAAGTAGAGTAATGTGATCCTGGATAGACGGCTATGATATTATTCTTTAGTAGATTTGAGATTTCCCCGTTGCTGCTTTCTTCTGTTTTCTTCCCTCTTATGCAGGATAAATGTTCATTCTTGAAAAACAATAAGAACATCAATCATAATCATAAACGAAGGGGAGACACACACACACACACACGCACCAGCGAAAGTGAAATCCAGCCAAAGTACAGTCAAAGAACCTTCTTACTCGAAACTCTTGAGAGAGCTAATTTACACGCCACAACAGTTGAGTTCATTGATGCTGTGAATAGAACAGTCTCCAGTGGCCTAATTCACTGCTGCTTTAAACAGCAATGCTAAGTGGTTCAGAGTTCGTCTGGAGAAATGGTGCTTATAAAAATGTCTTCTGGCTCTGCAGCAAAGAAGTAAATAAAAAAAAGCATCTCCGCAGACACTTGCCTAGGTTTAGTGACAAAGAAAAGTAGTCCGGGTTTATCTTCATCGTCAGCAGAAGACCTTTATCCATCGACTGACATTTCAAGGGCCGATGTTTCAGCCTGGCACAGAGTAAAAGAAAAGCAGGTTTTTTTGTTGTTTTTCAGATAGCAGATCTCCTCAGTTAGACTTTTAATGCACAAGGAAGGATTAGTTTCAGCCAAGGAACTTGAAACCCTCACCAATGCCTGCGTCTGTTTTCGCAGCTCCCGCCGCTCTTCGACGGCTGCTTCTTCTTCCTCCTCGGCTCCTTCAAGGCGCCCACCAAAGACGAGCTCGCCAGGCTGATCCGGGAGGGAGGAGGTCAGCTGCTGAGCCGGCAGCCCAAGCCGGACAGCGACGTGACGCAAACCCTGAGCGCCGCGGCCTACCACGCCCCGCCGGGCTCCGACCAGGCCCTCTGCACCCAGTACATCGTGTTTGACCCCCGGGGCACACACAAGCCCGCGGTGGTCAGACGAGGCAAGGTGTGGTCGGCTCCCTCCACCTGGCTCATCGACTGCATCGCGGCCTTCTGCCTCCTCCCAGTGCCAGACCCTCAGATGTC